GGCTTTTTGCATCAACACTTGATAAGTACTGTGTGTTGATAAGATATGATAGCACATACCCGAGGAATCCCTGGAAGCACAGGGCACACATTTCACTGCGTGGTGACAGACAAGCCATGTTTAAGATGATCAGAAGCAGGGCAGACCCTTCTCAGCCCTGATTTCCTTAGAATTTAGTGGAAACTTCAATGTCTGATGAGGAATTTGAGGTGGAACATGAAACAATCCTTTTCATCCTCAGCTGAAGTGTCAGTATTCATTTTGTCCTTGGTAATTAAAGAGAATTTCTTGTTTTTCTTGCTCTTTCAAATCTGTATCAGTAGGATCTTTGGAGTAATTGATCAGAACAATAGCATGGAAATAGAACATCGCTGATCTCCTTGGCTGGGAGATTTGTGAAAGGGAATGAAAAGAGGGAGAACTTCCCTGTCAGAGCTGCAGCTCTGTCTGAGCTCAGTGGGGTCTGAGCAGGGAAAGAGCAGCTCTACATCAGCCTTGAACAAAATAAATTTGTGAATTTGCTGTTTGTGAGGAAGTTGCACAAAACTGGAAAGATGAGACTGTTAAAAAGTCTGATAAATTTCAAGGAACTAAGCAACTAGTGACAGAGAAATGGGTGCAAGAAATATTTAAAAAGAAAACAAACATAAGTAGAGAGAAAAACAGGCAAGGATTTAAATATATCATAAGCACATCACAACTAATTCATCTGATAAAGGAAGATACAAGACACAAGAGGTGATTGATGTAGCTCAAAGATTTGATGGTACAAAGGCGCCTTTACTTGAAACGATGAAAGGAAATAGGGCAAAAAATCAGAATACTGAGGATTATTTACAATATAGAGAGAGGGACAATAAGCAAAAAGGCTGAGTAAATTGTAAAACAAAATAAGAAATGGCTTATGGTGTATGAGGGGGGAAATTAAAGAAGTCATTACTAAACAGAGAGTCAACCAGGAATCTGAAGTGGATGAGCCCTGAACTGATTTCATAAATGGGCCTTGACAAAGGGGAAAACACAGCATCACAAGGCTATCTGTGAGTAATGGAGACATTTTGCAATGCGGGATGCTAATAGAACACTTGGAAAGGAAGAATCTAAATAGAAAACCAGTTCTACCCATAATATGTGTCCTTCATGTTAAAGAAATTAATTTTTTTCCCCAAAAACTTGGGAAATTAATTTGGAGGATAATAAACTGCTGAGATAGCAAGGAATTGCAGAAACCATGCAAGACACTCCTTTTCCTCCCCTCAGAAAAGGGATTCAAGTCAGTATTTCAGTACATGGTGAAATATTGTCCAAATTTTTCTGGCTCATGATCTGCAAAGCATATTCCCTAAAAAGCTGCTCCTCTTGGAATCGTGTTTGCCACCTGGGCAGCTCTGCTGAGGTACCTCCTGCTTGCAGACAGAGCTGCCTGGATGCTTGTTCCGGTTTTTTTAGTAAGTGGGGATGACTAGGTACCTAAAGAAGTAAAATAGCTTCCTGTTTAAGGTGTGTTGTTTCTGTAAGTTTGGATCACCCAGGTGGAATTTATTCTGCTGGTGAATCTTCAACAGAATTAATGTCTACTCGGCCACAGGAACATAAATCCTGATGGAAGTCTCAGGTACCAGCATTGCATTAAAGAACATGAGGTTTGCACTTACAGGAAGAGGGTTTTTTCAAACATCTAATACATTGTAGGTGCCACACCAAAAATAAATAAAATATTTTCATCCATAACTTCTGATCAAGGATTATATTGTATTTGAAAAGAGTGACAATGTTGCAGAATTCCATCAAATTGGATGTAAATTTCTCAATTATTTTTATATAAATTCCTGCATGTGAGATGGCAAAAGTGAATTCAAAAGGAAGTGAATGATGTGGAGAAGGAAAAGGTGATCAGATCTAAGATTTCCCCCATGCTGTTCTGTAGAGCACCCAGACAAAAAAAATAAATTGTGAAATTAGTGCAAAGCACTGGCAGTCGGAAAAATGATGGAACAGTTGCTGGGAGATTAGTAAGTGTGGATACCAGGCAATGTCATTTCTAAAATAATTTTTCTGAGTAAAGCTGCATTTAAGGGCTGGAAGTAATGATTTATGAAGAAATATGAAAAGAATTAGATGTGTTTAACTTGGCAAAATAAATGAAGAGTGTTGTTCTTGTCCACAAGCATATGAAGAGCATAAACAGAAACCACAGAGCAGAATTGCCTTGGACAGGGCCTAAGGAATGCAAATGAAATGTATTGTGATCATAATGCAAGAAGGAAAATGTATCTCAGATATCAGGTAATATCCTCCATTAGCAAGATTTATGAGACCCATCATGATGGGAGTATGAAGGAAATGATGGAAAGTCCATTGACTGAGTCAACTGAAATTGGATTAGAAGATGTAGAACAGTTCAGCCCTGAAAAGAAAATTGTCACATGCCCAACAAACATTGCAGACTTGTTAGACGGTGGCACAACACAGATGTATTTCAGCGTTTTCCCTCAATGTCAGAGATACAGGCTCTGTGAGGATGCAGGTGGGCAGTCCCCTTGTGAGTGTGCCTTGATCAAGCTTTTGCTTCTCTCAGCTGAAGTTCCACCCCAATCTTGTAGCAAAGGGTGGTGTTCATAAACAATAGTTTGGTAACGTGCTCCTTCACCCCGTGAGTGTCCCTAGAACCAGAGGGTTCCACTGAGAAACAGGATAGAACATCTTGATGTCCCTCTACTGTCCAGCTCTCAGGTGCCTGCCTGGAGGGCTCCCAGACTCCAGGGTTCACTTCAGAATTTCGGGAGTGTTGATTCTGGTTGCCTGGCGCTGTGTCAGAGAACTCTGGCTCTGGCTGTCTGGTGATAAGCCTAAGTGGTAGACTTGGAAGGGGTCCCATTCTTTTTCACCTTCAGCAGCTTTCTGGGGAGTTGGCTGCTGCCAGGGCTGAGGCAGATGGATGGTTTGACATCCAGCACCAAGTGTTTCTCTGGCACTGCTCCACATCCTATATCATGCTCAGCACAAAAGAACCTTGGAGTTTACTGAGCCTCTCTCCACAGCTGGCTTCACCACAGGCTCTGGGGTCAGTGCTCCTGTTGTGACAGCAGATTTTGTTTAGAGCCTTACCTGAGAACATGACTGCACTGTTCAGCTCCTGAAGACATTCTGCATGGTGGTGGTTGGACAGGTTTTGCCCTGTCTTAGCTCCTTATAAATGCCAGTGTTGGCAATTCCCTTGTGCCACATCACCAAGGCTCAGCCTTCAGTAATATGCCATCTTCCCTTCAGGGAATCTGAGGTACCTGCACAGAAGTCTTTAGAAGAGGTTGTAGATGCCTTGTGGACCTAGATCAGTGGTCTTCACAATGAGATGTACAAGACTATCTTTTTTTTTCCACAATTAATATTTTTAAAATTTTAATATTTTCTTATATTTTAATATTTAACATTTTTTACAGTTAATAATTTAAAAAATTATATTATGTTTATTTCATCCTTATCCTTTGTAAATGTCTATTTTTGTGTATGTTTTATAAAGTATATAATGGATTAGTACATGAAGATAACGTATAGATAAATATACAGACATTGGCATGCACACTTAAGATTTTTTTACTTATGGAGACTTGGAGACTGCTGATCTAGATGTTCAGAGAAGGATGGGGATGATGGCCATGGCACAAAGATCTTCCACAATTTGAATCCTAAAAACTGATATGAACCTTTCAAGAGGGAATATGACATAAAGACATAGAATAATGTAAAAACCCTGTGTGATGCTGCTGGGAAGCTCCCTGTGTTGTCACGTAGGTGCACGAACTCTTCCTCACACCCACTGGGGTGTATTTTAGCCTTATGTAAATCCACAACTGCTGTGTAATTAAATAACATGATTAATCCTGCCTTCTCTGCCTGGTTCCTGTGTCTAACTGCTGGGTCCAGCCTTATTCCCTGTATCCATCTGCTCTCATGGAGCATCTAGGCCTAATTTGGACAGTCAGGCAAACACAAGTCCTGGAACATCCATGCCCAGCAAAGAGGACAAACGCAGCTGGTTCCACCCAGGGGCTGGTGTCCTGTTTTCAGCTGTAATTGGTAACTACAGCCACAGTCTGATCATTCAGAACTTTAATTTATATATATTATGGCTTCATACACATGGCCCAGGGCTTCAGCAGACTCGTTTATAGTGCCACCATCATGGCTCTGCCTTCGCAGGATATGGAATGGGCTGAATACGGAAAAGTGGTGTCAGTTTTCACACTATCAGGTCTCTGATTGGCACCTGCCATCTCATCTTTCTCTGAGGCAAAGAACACAGCCAGGTCTCGGCAGATTTCCTCGCACAGTGCAGACGGCGTGTACCTGTTGCCAGAGTTATGTGCTGCCAAATTTCGAGCCGTCATTCCAAATTAAGATGTTAGAGCTTTCCTTACCTATGATAAGTCATTAAAGATCGCTCAATTACCCTTGCATTGAGCCTTTTTTTTAAACTCAAGCTTACTTTACTGAAAGGCATCCTGTCTTGATTTGGAGATATTAAAAGATGAAGAATCCTCGTTCCTTTGATAAGGCAGGGGTTTTAATGTCTAATCATTCTCACTATAAAACTGTGCCTGATTTCTAATTTAAGCTGGTCTGGCTTCAGCTTCCAGCAATTGGTTCTTGTTATGCCTTTCTTGGCTGGATTAAAGAGCCCTCTAGGACCTGGTATTTTCTCCCTTTGAAGGTACTTATACATCGTAATCAAGCTATCTCTTGATCTTTTTAATAAACTAAACAGATTGAGCTCCTTAAGCCTCTCGTTCCGAGGCAGCTATTCCAGTCCTCAAATAATTTTTTTGACTCTGCACTGTCTCCAATTTTCCTGTGTCCTTTTAAAAATGTGGACACCAGAAATAAAGCCACTCAGGGAATTTACAGCCCTGTTTGTCCCTTTTTCCAAAATCCTTGAGATTCTCTTATTTCCATGCTATGGGTTCTCCAGTCCATAGAAGACTTTCTTGCTCCTAGAAACGATGACTGCTGATGTAATTTGCTCCAGGTGAGCCAGAAGTGCTCCCAGGCAGGTAACCTAGCACCAAAAAAATGGGTGGACCTTTGCCCCGATCGATGTAACTGTTCTTAGACAGTTTGTTCTTTTGCCCACTTGTAGGAGCTATTTCAAATCATTAGTGTTTTGGAACCAGGACCTTTGTGTGTTTTACATTCTAAGAGAACTCGAGCTGTTTGGGGTGGTCCAAAATCGCTGTAGACTGTAACTGAGCCTGTTCATTCTTATAGAGGAAACTGAGGCTTCTGCCACCCTTCAGAAGTGATCTCAGTGACCAAAGAGGTGTTTTGGTTCTGGCAACGGTCTCAGGAGGTAGCACAGGTGGATTGGCCAGACTGGAGAACAGAATTCAGGAACCACTTACACTTCTCTAATGAGCTCGGGAAGCTGCCCTGGTCTGTACAGGGAACGATGCTGTGAGGATTTTCTAAACCTATCTAGTGCTGCTTCTACGACTCAATTGTTGCTTTGTTGTTTGGGGTTTTTTTCCCCTGCAATATATTTATGTTTATCAAAGGCATAGTGGATGACCACTCCCCTCCCCACTATAAAGGAAATTTTCCAGGTGTTGCCTTGGTGAACCTATTTCTGTTGAAACCCACTCATCCCCTTTTGGTCCCCTTTCTGATCCTGTCCCTGTTATTAATCACAGTTATCTTCTGCTGACTATAAGCAAACTGGAGGCCAGATTTGGGATACTGTGTGTTGATAATATTAGGCATTTTTTTATGTTGCACCAACCAGCCTCCAAGATATTTATCCTTGCAATTATCTGCCGGGTAGGCAACAGCTATTCCCTGGTTTTAAGACAGGGAGGAGAAGCTAAGGTATGGAAAGCTTCAGTAGGTCAGGGCTTGAACTCACATCTTCTAAATCTGGGGTAATTGTGCCTCCTCTCTGTTCTATCTTTAAAAAATAAAGCACACACGTTAGTTCTGAGGCTCGCTTTCATCTGCACCGTTCTGCCTTCAGAAATCCTCACTCCTCCTCGCCGCACTGCGGTCGCCCTCCAAGAATTGCACAAAGGCTGTCAGTCGCTTTGGCTTGCCATCATCAAACATTGAGGAGAAATAAGAACAATTACAAGTTTAATATTAAAAGAAGCAATTTAATTTCCTTTCTGGAGTCGGTGTCATTTTTTAATGCTACCTGAAGAAGCAGAATCCCTTGTGCCTGGTGAACGGGGTGTGTTTACGTTGACTCGGGTCTCAGCCCCAGCATGCGATAGGCGGGAGAGGAGCCACCTGGGCCGCTGCTGGGTCCTGGGAGCCCCCACGCCCCCCGGGCGGGCCCTGCGCTGTGGCTGCGTGATGCGCTCTTTTATTTCTAATTCACCTGCCCAACCGGGCCGTTGTCTTTTAATTAAACTGCAGGAAGGCAAGAAGAGCCGCTAAAGGCCGCCGGCTGTGCGGTGCCCGCTGCCCGGGCCGGGCCGGGCGCGGTGCCAGCCCCGCTCTGGCCGTGGCGCTGCCCCCGGTGCGGCCCCCGCGCCGCCCCCGCCCAGCCCGGCCCGGCCGCTCCGGGCCCGCCCTGCGGCGCGCGCCGGCGGCGGGGCGGCAGCGCCCCCTGCTGCGCTGCGGCAGCGCCGCACGGACCCGGCCCGGCCCCGCCCGGGGTCCCCCGCGGACCCGGCCCCACGCCCCGAGTGCCCCCGCGGACCCGGCGCCACGCCCCGAGTGCCCCCGCGGACCCGGCGCCACGCCCCGAGTGCCCCCGCGGACCCGGCCCCACACCCCGAGTGCCCCCGCGGACCCAGCCCCACACCCCGAGTGTCCCCACGGACCCGGTCCCCCGCCCGGGGTCCCACCGCGCAGGGCACCGTGTTGGAAACACGGCACAGCCACAGCGGTGCGTGCGTTGACCGCGGGGCAGGGACAGGGACAGAGACAGGGACAGGGACAGGGACAGAGCAGGGGCAGGGACGGGACGGGAGCAGGGGCAGGAACGGAGCAGGAACAAGGACAGGAACAGGGAAGGAGAAGTCGCAGGGACAGGGGCAGGGACAGGGACAGGGCAGGGACAGGGACAGGGCAGGAGCAGGGACAGGGGCAGGTGCCCGTTGCCGTGGTCACCGCTATGGGGGTGTTGGTGGCGGTGGGGTCGGGCAGCGGAGGTACTGCTGAGTCGCAGCCGTGCTGGTACCGCCTGGTAGGGGCTGTCTGTCACCTGGGGAGCCCCTCAGTTGGGGCCGGGGCGGCTGTGGCCGATAGAACTGCTGCCTGATAGAACTGGATCTCTGTGGGCTGGGCAGCAGCTCCGCAGGGATGAGCTGCAATCAAGGGCCACCGAGGCCCTGCATCAGATGAGGCTCCAAAAGGTGTGAAGGGCAGTTGTGTGCTCTGACAATTCAGGTGACCCCTCCATGCTCACCCTTCACCTTCCAGAGCTCCCAGCTGGGATGTGGCCCTGGCTCCCAGTCTGGGTTGGAGGGGAATGTCCCTCCCGCTGCCACAGCGAGCGAAGAGGCTGCTGGCTGTGCAGGGGAGAAAAAACCTGTAAGGAAGAAAAACCTTCTACAAATTGGGAAGAGCATTCTGCTTTGACAGAATAAAAATAAAACCTGGAATGGGAAAGGAAAGGCATGAAAGAGTTAGTGACAAAGTATCATGTACAGCTGGGGAGATGATGGGTTTATTGGTATTGCAGAGGGGGAGGGAGAAGCTGAGAGGCAGTGAAAACACAATTTGGCCTAAAATTGAATTTCTCTGATAAGGAATTTCAGAAGCGGCTGCCTCATTCACTGTGCGGCCAAATAATCATATGCGCTTTAATAATCTTTATTTTACAGGAGTACGTTGCCAGGGCAACAGAGTGTAAGCAGGAGCACAGCACCTTACAGATCACAAAGGCAAAGCTGCAGAAAGAAATTTCAGCGAGTTTCTCTCTCCCTTTTGCAATGTAATGATGACTTATTTTTCATGCACTGATTTAATAATCTTATTGAAAGATCCTTTCCCTGTTTCTCTTATTCTTGTCTGTCTGGGAGCAGACAATGGTAAAAACCTGGAATTGTCAAGCCCACTGGGCTCAGCAAACTAACAGATGTAATATGTTTAGCATTTTTATGTAATTACTTTTTATTGCTATTTTACCCCTACTTCTATTCCTCCCCGGTTAGATGCTGCTTCCCTTCCATTCCGGCCCAATCAGGGGATGGAGAGGGGCTGGGGGAGAGTTGGTAATTGACGGCATTAATCGGGAATTATTAGTGGGACGTGTTTTCAGGGGTGGGGGTTGGGTGCAGAAAGAGACCTTTTAGGAAGGGTGAATTGAATTATGGGCGATGCAATAATGAAGCCTCTGGGCTGTGAGCTGCAGAGGACACTCATCCTCACAGAGCTCTGAGTGTTATTTATCATGGGCTCTGCTCTGTGGGTGAAAAACAGTGCGTTGCCCTACTGACATCCTCTGGGTGGGGGAGGTCTCAACTAGCTGGGCTGAAAATGAAAAAAAAAAGCTGATTTGGGATGATTAAAAATGGAAACTTCTGGAAATCTTTGATGTTGGTTAGACAGGGAGCAGGAACACTGCTACCAAACCCTCGGCAGGGCGCGGTTTGTGACCAGTCTGTCTCTTGTAAACATTTTGCCTCTTGTTCCTTCCCAAGGGCCAGGGCTGGGGAAGGAAGCGTGGGAAAAACAATCTTTGCAGGCTGCAGAACTGGAGGTGGGGGAAGGCTCTGTGAGATGAAGTACAAACCCCGGGTTGTCTCACAGCGGCTGAAGAATTCCAAGAAGTTAGGAACAAAGGCTGTCACCTGAGCTCAGCAATGCTGGGGCACTGCGTGTGGCAGGTCTCTGGCTGGCATGAGGAAGCAGCAGTGTGTGTGGGTTTGGAGGGCTGACAGGGCAAGGCTGAGGGAAAGGGCACTGGGATGGGGGTTTGCAGCCTCAGCTGAGAATGTCACAGTTTTGTGGTGTGAATTCAGGCTCATTGATGTTGCTGACATGAAATCTTGCTTTAGGGTACCAGTTCTTTAAAGCACAGCACATAGATTTACATGTTCTGCATTTTGCAAAATAATTACATAGAATAATATATAATAATATATATAAAATTATGTGTTTATATATGTAAATAATATATGAAAGCCAAGCAGCGTTCTCCCTAGAGGATTACCTTATGCTAAACATTACTGGTTTCCTCTGAGTTAGCATCCCCCAAGTCACTGTGAATGTGAGCTGTTCCTTGAACCAGGATTTCACAGAACAGAAAAACTGCTTTGAGGCACATGGCAGAAATGGCTGGAAGCTGCATTCAGGAGTGGGAGGTGGTTCTGCAGAAAGCAACAGGGACCAAACCCTTGGACCAGGCATGGGGACAGTTGCCTGAAAGAGAGGAGAAAATTCTGCTTGGAGACCTGGGTATGAGGCACATAACTCGTGGATTTCCTGTGTCTCCAGGTTCAGAATGTTTCCAGTCCTGTGGAAGCATTAATAACAATACGGTGCTTGGAGTCTCGTTATCTCTGGTGTCTAACCATTGTACGGACAAAACCCAGAGTTCTGAGGCCCGGTTAAAATTCTGTTGTTTTCTTAAAAACCAGATAAGCATTTACACCTGAGACATCAGAGTCCAGTGAGTGAAGAGCAGCCTGGCTACAGGGACAAGGGCATGTTCAGAGTGAGGGGAGCAATAAATGCATTGATATGTTCAGTTTATTAAAATTTGTTTATAAATCAAGTGTAAGGATATTGTACTGTCACTAACAACTTCAGGTTGGCTTTTAGAATATTTGCAGTGCTAATCCTAGACAGCATGGGGTCAGAAAATGCTGTGGTATAAAAATGACTCAATATAAGATTCTCCAGCAGAATAAGGTGCATTAAATATATATAATATAGAATGCTATAATATACCCTCTATATAACATTATATATATATATAAGTATATATAAGTATATATATAAGTATATATAATTACTCATTCGTAGTTTTGAACATGTATGTAGATCAAGTAGTTTAGGAACAAAGACAATGTTTTAATGTTGTACTAAGAAGGAAAAATAACACCTTTTTTTTCTAAGCAAACATATCCCAGGTTTCACCTTCCTGCTACTAACCAAAGGAATTGGCAGTGATATAACTACTGCTAAACGTTTTATCTGGTTAGAAAACTCAGTGTCAGCAGTGCCTGGTGATGAACTATCCTGTTCATGCAGGATTTTCTACAGCCATTTGTATAATTGTCCCTTTTTTACATGGCCAGATCTGATTACTAAACCAAATACTAACTGGGCTATATTTTCCTTATTAAAAAAAAGGCTTTTCATAAAGCAGAAAAGGCATGATTATTTACAAAAAGATTTTTATTGAGTGTAAAAGCACATAAGCATCGTTCAAGTTGTACACCTAAAGCTCTTCCATGGCATGTAGGGTCAGGAGAGGGGATAAAGACAAAAACCTGGCTGCAAGATTCCAAGACTGTTTGTCTTTTTTCCTACAAACCTGGAATCTGCTTCATCTTGGAATATTTTTTTAAGAATAATATTGTTTCTTTGTGCTCCCATAATATGACAAATATTTGGAAATCAGTTTATACAGAAGAGGGTTGTTTTATTCTATAGCTGTATTTAGAGAAACTATGGAATAAAACCCTTCTCTGCTTCTACCTTTATGTTTATCAGAAAAGCCCGAAATGAAGGAGCAGCCGGTTGCTTTGGCAGTGTTTGAGGAAAGATCTCCCTTTCCCATGGCTTTGGAGAGTTGGAGACAAGGTCACACTGGTCTAAGGAAAGCCAAATAGCTTCTGGAAATCCCAAATCAGACTGACACTGCAAGATCTGTCCATCATTCAAATTTAGATGAAGTTACCTTCCACATTGCTTTCACTGATGTTTTGGATTTTTTTTATTTTTTATTTTGTATTGGCTGGCTTCTGTGAAATCCAGCAGCTCTCCTCTAAGCTCTAGCCAAGGAAATCTCCACAGTTTTTGTCCTCTGCACAGAACCTCATTTCATAGAGACTGAACATTGATTCAGATAAAATATGTAGATAGAGAATCTCCCTAAAGCAGTCTTGTAAGGAGCCTGCAGGCAGCTGACTGCATGTTCAGAGTGAGGCAGCTGACTGCAACCAGACTGGGCCACAGAAAGAACCCTGGGACAAGGTGATCTGCCAACTGCCAGACACTGGACAATATTTCTATTTTTTGTTGGCTTAGGAGACTGCATTTTTGGCTCCTTAAAGCAATTCCGGACAAGAAACTATTTGGTGGATCTTCCTGTACAATTTTTATTTTTTTTTCTGTTTTAATCATAATAAATTTTAAAATGTATAAAGTCAAATGGATTATTATCTGTTCTTTGTAAGACTCGATGGGGGAAGCCCAAAGTTGAAGCAAGGTGGCAGAACCTGTACTTGCTTCAGGGGAAAGCAGGGTTATCGCCATCACGATATAGAAAGGTTTGTCTTTGTACCCATTTTCCTATTCTCCTTAGGAATAAGGATAACATTTTTGGTAAGAAATTGAAGTCCAGCAGCTTAAATACCCACATATTTCTAGCACAAAATCTGGGCAATTTGCTTTCCCCTTCCTGCTAGTTTGTATCCTGCTGCCTTTTGAAATGGAAACTCTTCTGACCCTGTAACCCCCGTGTTACTCGGAATAAAACTCTTTTTAATTGTGTTTTGGAGGAGCATGCAGGGAGCTCCAACACTACTAATCAGCTTTGCTGGTCTGGGTCTGTATCGCCGGGATTCATGTCGGCAGAATAACTTGATATAATTGCGGCTCTGCATCGCTGATTTAATGCTGAAGAACTTTAAAGGTGCAGGTCTCCATTTCTGTCTGTGTGTTAGTACAGTGGGAGAGCAGCTCCTGGGCACTCCTGGCTACCTGGGGCCT